AGCCGCTTCGTGTGCACGGCGCTGCCCCCGGAAGCGGCGCGCGCCGGCTGCCCGTTGCCCGCGATGCCCATGCAGGGCGGCGCGCTGAGCCCCGAGGAGGAGCTGCGGGCCGCGGTGCTGCAGCTGCGCGAGACCGTCGTGCAGCAGAAGGAGACGCTGGGCGCGCAGCGCGAGGCCATCCGTGAGCTCACGGGCAAGCTGGCGCGCTGCGAGGGGTTGGCGGGCGGCAAGGCGCAGGGCCCGGCAGCTACAGGCAAGGACACTATGGGCGATCTGCCTCGGGACCCCGGCCACGTCGTGGAGCAGCTCAGCCGCTCGCTGCAGACCCTCAAGGACCGCCTGGAGAGCCTCGAGGTAGCCGAGCGCGGCGGGTTCTGGGGGGCGCGGGGTGGTGGTGGGGCGCGTGGTCCTGCCCGCCAGGCTGTGCGGGACACAGCGAGCTGGGCTTGGGGTCGGGGGGGTTGCTTCTCGGTCGGGCTCGCGAACTTACTTGCGGGGCTTTCATCCCGCCCCCCACCCCGCTTCTTGCTGGAAGGAAAGGGTTAACTCCCCCCGCGCGCCGGGACTGTCCGCCGAGTGGTCAGTCACTAACCGAGGTCCGGGTGAGCGGACCGGGACGGCCTCTTCTTTCTTGTAAATGTCCGAGTCTCCCGGGGCCGGACGCGCTCCCAGAGGCTGTGCCGGGTGACGTGCGGCTGCCGCGTGCGGTCAGCTGCCCCGGCTGTCCCGTGTTTCCTTTTATAAATCAGGTCGGGCTGGACCAGAGCGGGCGGCGACCCCAGGGTCTCGGCGGGGAGGCGAGCGCGGGCGGGTCCCGGGCCACACACCGGTTGGCGCCTCGGAGGGAACCTGGTTTTAACTTCAAAGACGCTCTGTCCGCGAATTGCGCCGGTTCTAAGGTGCCCTTCCAGGCTGCTCTGGGGGAAGGGACCTTATTCCGTTTCTCTCTTGGAGTGTGTATGCAGTTTGGAACTTGGCAAGAGAAATCCTCATTTAACTTCCATCTTTACTTTCGAACCCTGTTTAAGAAGTGTGGGCGGGGCGCCTGGGTGGCTCAGTTGGTTAAGCGACTGCCTTCGGCTCAGGTCATGATCCTGGAGTCCCGGGATCGAGTCCCGCATCGGGCTCC